GCTGCGCCCTGATGAAACCATAACAAAAACTAATATTTGACAATTGCCAATAATCGGCAGAGCAGCCGCATGGATTGCCAAACACACAAGCAACAACAGCAAAGTATTGCTGAACAAACAGCAGCAACAGCAGCAACAACAACAACAACAACGGCTACAGCATGAGGCGAGCGCAACAATTAAAACAAATCGAAAAAAGCAATGTAAAATTTTCATGTTCTAAAAAATGTTTTTTACTTTTGCTGTTGTTTTATGTTTTGAGTGAAAACGGCGCCACGCCCCCTGCGGTGGGCACTCGCTCAATGCATGCAAATTGAGGCAGAGTGTGCCCCTACGTGCCGCTGCAAGAGTGTGTGTGTGTGTGTGCAGGTGTTTGCATGTGTGTGTGTGTATGTGTATTTTTGTTGCTTGTTTTTGCGCTTTTCGGGTGTAAGGACAAAGTTTTGTTCGAACAATTGCTGCCGTGCACAAAATTGAATTGAAAACTCAAAGGTCACAAATTTATGCAATATATGTATATATATGTGCACACAGACATACATATATATCGGCACTTTACATATGTTTGTGGTACGTGTGAGAGTGTGCGAAACAGTTGAACATGGAGCGTTGGATTGTTGTTTGATTGAAAATGTAATTGAATGACAGCAGCAGCAAAAATAATACAAAAAAAAGATTATAAAATAGAAAACTAAGTTCAAAAATACATTGGCAAAACTTTGTTATCAGTTTAATATTGAAAAATATATAACAAAAATAAACAAATCAAGCATGAAAACATTTTCTGGACAGTCAAAACATAAGCACAAATATGGACGTTCGATTGCCCAGATATTGCTGAAATATGAATGCAAAATAAGTTTATTTTATGGCTTAGAATATTCAATGCATATGCAAGAATTTATGTGATAACAAAAAGGTTTTAATGCAAACAGATTTTTTGTTTTAAATTTATAATTGCCCTAAACAAAAGAACAGGAAACATATATGAAAAAAATTAAAACTGCGTAAGGAAAAAGAAGTATAGAAAATATACATAAAATTCTGGGTAAAAAAAAAAAAAAAAAAAAAAAAAAAAAAAAAAAAAAAAAAAAATAAAAAAAAA